AATTTAAGCGGCAAAAAGGACTGAGAAAAAGTTAATATTCTAAATTTATGACAACTCATTAACTCATGAATATATATGTCAATATTTTTCAATAATCAAGAAATTGTTACTCAAAATAACATCACATATATATGATAAAAAAGTTAACCTTCAAATAATATCAATGATTCAACAAGAGTAGCCTATAAAACATAGATGATATAAAATTCTTTTCCATATAAAGAATGATTAACAAACTATACATTATACTTACTTCGTTTCTATCAACTATAAGAATAGATGCGGTCGGTGGTTGTAAAGAAACTACGTCAACAGTATACATAGTTTTAATTTGTGTACCGCTACAATAACCGTATGAAATATTAGAATGCTGGGCGAACCACATGCCTTCATTTGTATTAGGAATGAATTAGAAGGTTAAAATTAATTTTTAATAAAAAATAAACGAAAAATATTTTGAATTATGAAAAGTGTACTAACGCCCTCCACCACATCGACCATGTGCAGAAGAGTTCCCATTTTGAGCAATTCCACTATTTGCATTTTAATAAATTTAGTAATCGATTGAGATAAATGTTAAAAGAAAAATAAAATCAAAATTTGTAATAATTATTATATTAGATTTAAGAGCTTTACCATACTCCACATCTAGTATTAGCATTACAATAAGTCCATTGTCCACCACGAATATAACGACCCGGATCACAAACACATTTAGTACCATGAAACATTTTATGGGTAACGCTGGCTGGGGTACGTTGAGGAGATTGTCGGGCCAAGTTGTTCTTATACCTTTCATGAGCTTCAACAAGCCTTGTTGGCATTTCCATGCGAATGATGGCCAACACTCGTACAGTAGGCATAGTTGCTGTAAATCTCCTATATATTTCTATATATTGAGCATTTGTTGGCTCTAAGACTGTCATTCTTGTATTCAATATTGTCACAAGCTGTTGCATATAACTGCCACACATTTCACAGATAGTCGTGGCATTTTGGTTACAATATGTACACACAGGACACTGTTGCATATTCAAATCACCCAAATCTCCAAGAGGTGAATAACACATTTCACATTGGGAATGAATAGGATTATTAAGATAAGAACAAGCAGGGCATCGAATCGCCGCATCCTCATGATAAGCGTCATTATTGAATGCGAGTATGGAGTCATTAATCTTCTCCTCCTCATCATCATCATCAATAATTGTAACTAACTGGGATCCGCATATTTCACAATAATTCAACAATGGATGATTTAAAAACATACAACTTTGACACATGATATGGTTCTTATCATCATGCTGTGGTGGTTGTTGCTGTTGTTGCAGCTGCTGTTGTTGCAGTTGTTGCAATTGTTGCCGTTGATGCAGCTGTTGTAGCTGTTGCTGTTGCTGCAGCTGTTGTGGCTGTTGCTGTTGATTTCGGTGCTGACGCGTTTTTTGCACAGGAATATCGTTACGGGTGTTGTTAGTGGGAAAATCTACATATAAATCATCCTCTTCCCCTTCATCCTTAATCCAATAATAATCAATCGAATCATTTAACACAGGCTCCTCTTTCTTGATGCTGGTACCACATATTTCGCATGTTGTTCTGTTTGGTCGAACATAGTATGTACAATTCGAACAATATACCACCTTTTCCTCGGGCAAACTGTCTGAGGTTTGTCCAAATGGCGAAAAGTCCAAGTTATCCTGGTCGGCGTTAGGGTTTAACCACATCGAGAAATTTGACCCAGGCTGTTTTGAGGACGCGTGATAATCATTTGTTGATGTGTGTCCTTGCTGAGAAGGACGAGAATAAGATGAAGAGCCAGGAGATTGTTGAAGTGATCTAAATGAGTTGCTTGACCACTGACTAATATCGTTTGAACTTTGAGAAGAACCTGATGTGGATTCTAATATTACAGGATTAGTTTGTAGCTGTGACCACTGCTGCGTATCTGTTGCATCTACATCATAAACATTCGAAGCCACTATATAATCGTTCACTGGCTCTGTATCACTACTCTGAAAACTTGCTAATTGACAGGCAGGGCTGCAGTAATTAAAGTCAATCCCATTTCTGCCTCTTCTAACTTTATTTTGGCAACCAGGATGAAGACATAAAGTATCATTGTTATTTTTACGAAGTTTTCTTAGTGATTTTAACATATTGATAAAAGTCTACTTTTTTAGTTAGAGTTGTGAATAAAACAAAAAAA